GATTTTCTTCACTCACAGAAAAAAAATAGTGTATCAGGTATAATTTTGAATTATCACAAAATTCGATTTTATTATTTTTCAAATTTCTGCCTTTAGACAAGCTCCTTCAGGCCAGAGACTGCCAATATTTGAAAGAGATTTCATCATAAAAATAGGGCAAAATAGTTTTAATACAAGAGAATCATCTGGGTAGGGGAGGTGGAAAGTTTGCGTAAGACCCTAAGGCTGAGATGCAGCAATGGGATGAAATGGTAGTGGCTTCCAAGGCCAGTCTTTATTTTGCTTATGAGTATTTAATGTAGCTGCATAGCCACTGTTCTCGATCATCTTTAGATCAGTGGGAGCAGTTACCATTAATAATAAATCAATATTGCACCATAAAGGAGATGAATATCCATGTTTGTACCAAGACATCCTTCTGCCTGGCACCGCTCTTTCCAGAAGAATTAACAGGGTCGCTCTATCGAGAAATAGGCATTTGTATTCAAGAAGGGGTTTGCATCCAGGCTCTCTTGTCACTGGGAAGAAGGGCAGCGGCCCTGGACCCGAGTGAACCTGGGGGCTCCTAGGTGTGCCCTGAATGTGGGCCCTGCGTGGCCTCGGGTCAGTGCCACCCTTTGGGAGCAGAGTAGATGGAGACAAATTTAAAATGGTGCTTCCCCAAGGAACCCCCAGGGTTGTACTGCGCACCTCCCAGCCAACGTGAAAAGAAATCAAGGGTGCAAGTGGGTAGGCTGGGGAAGCCACCACCAACTGGATGAGGGGTCTACGGAGACGTGGAAAAGGGCCCTGGCCCAGGGGGCCCTAGCAGACACAAAAGATTCCTTACTTAGCGCATTTTCACTCCACTTCAAGATCTGAGACCTCAGAGACTCAAGATGCATGACCACCCTCCATGAGCCCCACAACCTGGGTCAGGTCTGCAGACCTCAGAAGTCCTGGTCCAATCCCCTGGCCTTTTTCAGGTCCAACTTAGGAGCTGCCAGGAGGAAAGGAACCGCAGACTGATGAGCACCAGTGGTCTTCGGGAGGCTGCCAGCCAACGCCAAGCCCCCCCCCCCCAAAGCCACATGCACGCCCCCTGGAGCCACCTAAAAAGGAACACAATGACATTTTGGGGAGGAGAGTTCTCACCCCAAGTGGACTGAGGCCCGGGCTAGGCCCGGAGAAATGTCGCTTCACCAGATCTATGCTGGACTCACAGTCTGACAGGCTGGAGCCGTGGGGGTCCGCAGGGAACACCCTCGCCTCTGGCTGGCGCCTCGCTGGGGTGCTCACGGCGCCCAGCCACCCCGGAGCCAAGCCAGCTCCCAGGGATGGACCCAGGGCCTTTGGTCCAGGGTCTGGAGGGGAGGCAGAGACAGCGGAACGGACGGGACCGGCACTAATTCCTGGGGCTTCATGCGCTTCGCAATGAACTTCGAGGAAGAAGGGACAGCTAGAAACCCACGTCCTGGAGACCTCTCTTTTGGAACCTCCCTTTCGGACCGCGGACGATGACAGGGGCTTTACAAAGGGGGCGGGGTGGGTGGGTAGAGAGCGGCAGGAGGCAGGAAAA